GCCGGCAGCCGGTGCCGCTCGGCCCCTCTGCGAAAATTCTCCCCCTCGGTAACCTCCCCCTCCCGCACCACCTCAATCCACCCCGTCTTCATCATCGAGCTCACCTCGCCCCTGCCGACCGGCTCACCGCCGCACCCCGACCAGACGGCGAACCTTCTACACCCGGGATATTAATTTTTCCGGAAGTTGCATTCCCTTCGCTGTACACGCGACTTGGAGCCACATTTTTTCCCTTCGACTTTGTCCTTCGGTCTCTGCGCCGTAGCGTCGACGATGCTTCTTTTTACCTCAACCGCTGCGACTTCCTTTCCCATTTGACGTGGCTCGCTCTCCTTGTCTCTCTCTCTCTCTCTCTCTCTCTCTCTCTCTCTCTCTCTCTCACACACACACACACAGAGAGAGAGAGAGAGAGAGAGAGAAAGATACATACACACAACGAACATCTATAGACCAGCCTGCATGGTTTTTTTATACGCGAAGCCATAAAACACAAGTGGACGAGGTCCTTATTAACAAAGTCGTTGTTCGATTACTGCAGCCGCGCGCGTCGTTTGTCTCTTGATCGTCACTTTATCCCCTACTTTCCTTTGAGCACTATCTCCTTCAAAGTTAATTCGTAAACGCTGCCAAAGTAGCAAAAATGTTGAATCGATGTTGCCACGGGGAAGGGGAAAATTCGCAAACATTATTTGTTACTTCGGCTCTTGAATTTTAAGTAAAAACGATACGCTCTTGTACGTGCAATTCCTACAAAGCCAAACAACGAATAACAATTTTAAAAGAAAATTCTTTTTCATTAAAGCGATTAATTTTCACGCCCATCCGTCGAGTCCACCGCGGTTGGCTACTCTTTACTCAACAGCGGCTTAATTCCTACTGCTAATGAAATATTAATTAAACTCGTTAGGATCATTATGGACAGTTTTAATGCCAAGGTCAATCGCTAACGTTTACCGAAACTTCATGCATTCATTGGCTATGTAAAATGTTATATATTCCAGCTGAAAATTCGTGTCCATCCAATTATAAGGTAAATTGATCGGTACGCCTCGTCCTGTAAACATAATGGATAAATAATCTTGAGACCCTTAACACACGTCTTACATTATCAACAATAATCAGGAGTTTGCATAACGAGCGCTCGGCACTCTTGCCAATCCATTCGATCGAATGATTAATCCGAGGCGCGACGCGTCGAATGCGCAAAACCCGCCATGTGCGTCGTGGCGAAGTGATGAGGGGACGGGGAAAGAAGGGGATGGACGCGGCTGCTCGGCAAGGCCCAGTCTCGACTAAAAAAAAATGGCGATGAAGGATATGGGGAGGGGGGAGAGGGAGCGGACGCATGCGCGTGAATCGGGGAGAGAGAAAAAGGTCAAAGGGCCGAGTCGTCAAGTCGTAGCAGGAAAGTTTGAGCGGAAGTTGCCGGGGCGGTGGTCGGGCGAAAGTTCGTAAGCGGGAAGCTCTTCTGCGGCGACGGCGGCGGCGGCGGTGGCAGTGGCAGCCGACCAAAGCGGAAACGCGTTATATGGATCGAATGGTCGTCGCGGTGCCGATTTAATTGCTTCACGCGCAGGTGTACGTATACCCCGGCAGATTTAATTATGCCGCTCGATTGGCCCGCGCCCCGCGTCCACTCGACGCCCTTGCGCCTCCGTGGCTATATTGACAGCTTTGATGTTACCAGCGACGGCGGTACACTCCGCCTAACGGTCAGTAGATAAAAAAACACAGAGAGAGAGAGAGAGAGAGAGCGATACTGATTTTACGAGGCTCGCACAGACAATCGGTATGGGCAAGAGGTAGAGGATCGTCGTCCTCGGGCATTAAACAGTACTTCGCAGACCTTGCTTCACATTTATTGGGACAGAACATGGTTCGAATGAAAAATTGTCAATCGATAAGGATGAAATGCACCAGCGAATAGCGCATTATGCGTCTAGAATTGCACGTAGATGTGTGAAAAAAACTGTGAAGATATCCCTCGGGGAGCGCCATCTTTATTTAAACGTAGTCGGCCAGACTTCCGTAATCATTGGACGAGCATAATGCGCGCGAAGTACGCCACATAGCAGCGCACCGGGACACTCCGAGGAATTTCGTCCAAGTCGGAGTTACAGGGCGCCGGTAGCGCAAAACTGCTGCCGAAGATCGCTGAATTCGCGGAGAGGAATCGCAAAAATCCTCGATCTGACCCAGGCGACACCCAGCTGAAACGCGTATAATTATATTGTCGCGATGCTGCGTAACCTTAGGAGGAGTGACGGTGGGCGCTGGCGCGACGATCGAAGACCGAAGCGAGAGGAATATCGTCGGGCCGTCGACTCCCGGATCAGTCGCCGAGATTGTCGCCATGGAAATGAGGAAGCCGGCATAGCCGTAGCATCTCGTGTGCCTCGCACTACAGAGGACCTCGGCTCTTCTCGGCACCCCACACCACCCCAGCACTCGCCCCACCCCACCCCGCCGCAATTCCTCGAGCCTCGGCGTCGGCGCCATTCCGTTTTCTCGCTGCGGTTCGACTTGGTAGCGGAGCCCGAGCTCCGAGGCTCTCGCGCTTCTTCGAAAGAGGACGAGCGCCAAGTTGCGAGGCGAGGAGAACCGCGGCGGTCCTCTCGCCACGACGTGATATTAAATTTCTGGAATTTTGCGGCGAACCGGGTCGCTAGGGACAGTGTTTCGTGCTCGCGGGCTTTCGTCCCCGGCCACGGAAAATGTTATTTATTACCGCGGAAGAGCCATTTCTTTGGGATGTGCCTTGGGGTGCTTTCTTTGGAGAGAGCTAATACAGTTAAACAAACGACCCTTGCCATTCCCTTTCATTATTACTTATTGCAATTAAGGAGTCGGTTATTTAACATTGCATTTCTATGTGCTTACGTTTTATTACATTAGGCGTGCGCTATCTTGTTTAACAATTTCAAATATAAATTTGCCTGTTGTTGGAGCTTGTTGTATGTGCGTTATTTTATGCAAATACAAACGTAAGCTCGCTTTCCCTCCATGGCGTTAAGAAGCGAACGGAAAAGTTCCGAAAGTGTTTAAGGCGCATTGTCTTAACAAATTTTCAGATGCTTGTCGACTGACTTTTTAGTAAATAATCGTCTATTTGTTTACATTTTATTTTTGTCTTAATTTTTTCGTTCAAATTATCTAAAAGCAACGACTCTCGATCTTCTTTAGATGCGGATTAGTGATAGTTAGAGTCCAAGCTAAAAATAAATGCACGAATAAAGAAGGAAATTAATCGAAGCTGTTGATAAATATTATAGTGTTGGATTGAGTGAGAAAGTAAATATGGCAAGGTAGAGACAAAGACATTGATTAATTTGTTCAGAATCATTTCTTTTTTTTTTTTTTTTTTATTATACACCTAAGTTAACATTCATATACAGCATTTACAAGAAGAAAAGTAAAGGAGAGCGAATATTGCGATACATCGTGTACTTATTTTTCATTCTTTATCCAGTTTAATCTACCTTCTCTCCTCTTCACTTCTCTTATACCCCTCCCCGCCCCTCCTCCTCCTCCTCCTCCTCCTCCTCCTCCTCCTCCTCCTCCTCCTCCTCCTCCTCCTCCTCCTCCTCCTCCTCCTCCTCCTCCTCCTCCTCCTCCTCCTCCTCCTCCTCCTCCTCCTCCTCCTCCTCCTCCTCCTCCTCCTCCTCCTCCTCCTCCTCCTCCTCCTCCTCCTCCTCCTCCTCCTCCTCCTCCTCCTCCTCCTCCTCCTCCTCCTCCTCCTCCTCCTCCTCCTCCTCCTCCTCCTCCTCCTCCTCCTCCTCCTCCTCCTCCTCCTCCTCCTCCTCCTCCTCCTCCTCCTCCTCCTCCTCCTCCTCCTCCTCCTCCTCCTCCTCCTCCTCCTCCTCCTCCTCCTCCTCCTCCTCCTCCTCCTCCTCCTCCTCCTCCTCCTCCTCCTCCTCCTCCTCCTCCTCCTCCTCCTCCTCCTCCTCCTCCTCCTCCTCCTCCTCCTCCTCCTCCTCCTCCTCCTCCTCCTCCTCCTCCTCCTCCTCCTCCTCCTCCTCCTCCTCCTCCTCCTCCTCCTCCTCCTCCTCCTCCTCCTCCTCCTCCTCCTCCTCCTCCTCCTCCTCCTCCTCCTCCTCCTCCTCCTCCTCCTCCTCCTCCTCCTCCTCCTCCTCCTCCTCCTCCTCCTCCTCCTCCTCCTCCTCCTCCTCCTCCTCCTCCTCCTCCTCCTCCTCCTCCTCCTCCTCCTCCTCCTCCTCCTCCTCCTCCTCCTCCTCCTCCTCCTCCTCCTCCTCCTCCTCCTCCTCCTCCTCCTCCTCCTCCTCCTCCTCCTCCTCCTCCTCCTCCTCCTCCTCCTCCTCCTCCTCCTCCTCCTCCTCCTCCTCCTCCTCCTCCTCCTCCTCCTCCTCCTCCTCCTCCTCCTCCTCCTCCTCCTCCTCCTCCTCCTCCTCCTCCTCCTCCTCCTCCTCCTCCTCCTCCTCCTCCTCCTCCTCCTCCTCCTCCTCCTCCTCCTCCTCCTCCTCCTCCTCCTCCTCCTCCTCCTCCTCCTCCTCCTCCTCCTCCTCCTCCTCCTCCTCCTCCTCCTCCTCCTCCTCCTCCTCCTCCTCCTCCTCCTCCTCCTCCTCCTCCTCCTCCTCCTCCTCCTCCTCCTCCTCCTCCTCCTCCTCCTCCTCCTCCTCCTCCTCCTCCTCCTCCTCCTCCTCCTCCTCCTCCTCCTCCTCCTCCTCCTCCTCCTCCTCCACCCCCACGCCCCTCCCCCGGTCCCTTACGCCAATCCACCAATTTGCCACACCGTTTGGTCAATTTCCCCTCCCTTCATTATCACGCTCCCTCACGCTTTCTCTCTGCCTAATTCCCAGCACACACGCGTGCACCCCTCCCCTTCGCCCCGGTTCTTTATTTTTCTATCCGTCTGTCTGTCTTTCTGTCTGCCTTTTACACGCGTGCGAACACACACACATTCTTCTCTCTCTCTCTCTCTCTCTCTCTCTCTCTCACACACACACACACACACACACACACACACATACACACTCTCCCTGTCTCTTCTCTTCTCTCAACGTCCCACGCTGTCCCATGTAATAATACTTTGCGGGCTGAGACGGCGGTGATCGGCAAAGCCCCGGACAGCAACACACGTTGCCTCGACACTCAAGGGAAGGCGAGTATGTATCTTTCCTCGAAGTTGGTCGGCACCTGGTAGTCGCTAGTGTAGGTCGCGTAGCCGGCGTTCGTGGGGGACGTCGGGCGGGCCTGATTATCGTGCTGGTACTGTAGCTGCGCCAGCGGTTTGATGTCGACTTTAGGGGCAACGAGCTTCTGGGGCTTGGCATCGACGGCCGTGACGCTGAGTCCGGATACGGGCACCGATTGTAGACTACCGGGCGTCACCTCGAGTTTCTGCAGTGGTGCGTAAGCGTAGATGGGTCCGCGAAGCGGCTCCACGTTCTCCGCCCGGATCTTGGCGAAGTAGCGCATGGCTTCGAGGTCCTGGCGGCTCACGTAGCGAACGCGCTGGAGTCGTCCGTCCGGAAGCGCCACGAAGTACTGGCCGCGCTCCTGAGGCTGCTGGGCCCAACGGGCCTGGCCGTTGGCCTCGATGTCATCGAACTCGTTCCCGGAGTCGAGCGACTCCGGCTAATAATACCAGGAATTAACGAACCGTGTGGCTGCGAGTTAGTTGGTAACGTGGGTGCGGACAGGATTTGAATGAGAAAGGACGAGATAATACGTACCTCGGAGTCGGGAAGTCCAACGACGGTAGTGGCTTCGTCGAACTCGGTCGAGTCGGGGAATTCCGTGGTGGAGTACTCCGGGGCGCCGTACTGGGCCTGAGGTGCGTTGTAGTGTTCCTGAGGCCTCGGGGCACGTGCCTGCGTCTGCCTCTCGAATCCGTTCAAACGCTGACTCGCGAAGCTCTGGGCCTGCTGTCTCTGGGGCAGCAACGAGCTCTTCGCCTGAGGCGGTACATACTGATTGCCGCTGGCCTCGGGTTCGCCTCGTGGCAGGCCGTAAGCGGTGCTCGTCTGGTGCTGGCGCTGCTGGGGCTGGGGCAGATTGAAAGCCGGGCCGTCGGGCTTCCAGCCACTGGCTGGATAGGGCGCCGGTGCCGCGGTCGACGTCTGCTGCTCCTGCCGGGCGAAGAAATAACGCTGTCCCTGGGAGCGCTGCTGGGCCTGAAGGGGCGGCTCGGCCATTACCACGGCGGCAAGGAGAAACAGACTCGCGAATACCTGCACTCGACGAAATAGAGACTTAGCTAACCGATGCCTACTGCGTTTCATGAAGATTCGGATGGCAAACGAGGAGGCGGCGGCGAACTTTTAGGAAATCGATGTTCGACACTTTGAATTTCGAATTAGTTGATTTGTCGCGCAAAGGGCTGTATAATGAATGTCGTGGAGCCTCGGTTGGCCCTCTTAATTTCATAAATGGCTGTATTGTCGCGTTAGACTAATAGAGATGAAAGTAAAGAATAGCGTTCGGGACAGAACAGAGGACAGGCGTCAACACGAAAAAGAAAGTACAACAACCGAAGAGGGAAAGTGAAATGTCGATGTGGCGAATGTGGAAACGGTGCGTATTGTAGGTTGGCCGATGTAAGCGCGTCGACTGGTTGTAGATCGGGTAATTATGTCGCGGGACATAGTAGATCTTCCAGACTTATGATCGATGATCCCGAGTATGTAAGAGGATGCGAGCTAACGGGGGAAAAGCTAAGGGAGGCAAGAAAGTGTATGAGGAGGTTAAGACGAGGGAGCACTACTGTACCTTCATTATTGTTGGGTTTGGTGAGTGAGTACACTGTTGTCGAGGCGACTGATTGCCGAAGTGCGCCGTCGTCGGATTATATATACTCGTCGACGGGTGTTCATGTGTTGCATGCTTAATGCATGGCGGTGGGCTCTATGCGGCGTTGACATTGGCCTCGTAAAACGAAAGAGAGAGAGAGAGAGAGAGAGAGAGAGAGAGAGAAAAATCGGCGCGTTAGCTCATCGCCAAAATCTCACCTTCGCTTATAGCCGTGGGGTCGCCATTGGCGGCGCGGCCTTCCCTCCGCACTGGATAATTGAATATTTCGGTGCGCCGCTCACGTGTAAAGCGCCGCCGAGTCTCCTTCATTCATCGGAGTCGACGACGACGATCGGCGATTTTCTTTACCTACGAGCGACTTAAAATTCCGCGTACGCTTGCCGATGCCACCTCGTCCACCAGTATCCTTGTACATTGATGAAAATCAACAATTGCATTGCACGGCTTCTCGTGCATCAGATTTTCAATAGTGCGATTAATTTAGTCATTTTTGCTACGTGCGTGAGTGGAACGAAGGCGAAAAATGAGCAGCCTTGCTGGATAGATTGCTGGAATTATTCAGAGGATTTGTGACATGACATCACTGACATTAGATAGACTTCTTCGAGGCGTTTATTATGCCTGGTGTTATAAAATTAGGCATCGTTGTCAGAGAAATACTAATGGCGACCGCATTTCAAGAAAGTTAAAAATCATTTTTTGGCAAATTGCTATACCGTGGAGTAAATGTCAGCGAGAGAATTTTGCCGATTCGTTTTATTATTTGGAGAATTACGGTGTTACGGTGCTTTTAAATCGGGCCGAAAGACGATTGGAACATTCAATTTCATATGGCCGTCGAAATTACTCTGCGCGATATTTTTGATAATTTCAAGGGAAAAAGAAGGTGCGATTTAACTCGATATCCCATTAAAAACGTTATTACAAATTGATGTTGTTTATCGATGACGATAATCATGATAAACAAGAAAAAACAATAAATGGAATAATGTAAATTTACACGATTCGTAATGACTGTAAGATGAGTATTTGTGAAATTTGAAAATTATAAATGATCGCGTAATCCGAAGGATATGCATTGCATTATAAGAGATATTCAAACGGTTCTGCATGTGACCGATAAGTTGACAAAAAAAACAAAAACAAAAAAAATATTCACAAAATACTTTCACTAATCAATACATTTTCATGCCTCGTCATCCGTGTTATACGAAACGATGACACAATAACGAAGCATTTTTTTATATCATCGATTATCAACGCATAATCATCGTTAGCAATAAATGCTCTTAAAAGATGGCTGAAATCAAAATACACGTGCCAACGACATAAAACAGCAATATAATCAGATCAAGGTAGATATAATAATATTATACCGTTTGCATCCTTCGTATGACTATAGATTCTATTGCAGTTTCATTCTCTCACTCTCTCACTCTATTTATTGGCATTGTTATTCACGACGGCTTTTCAGCCTTTCGTGTACCCTATTACGTATATGCAATTTTGGTTCCGATCGAGAACATATAATAAGCCAGTCATAATCTACACGGAGAGTCTAAGTGAGAGATTTCATTCGTATCGCGTGCTTACCGTATAATGCACTATACCTTGTTTGATAAAAACAACAAATAAAGGGGGAAAAAAAATGAAGAAGAAAATAGCTTTCGCATGATTTAGAATTTAAATTTTCTACAACTCATTAAAGCTGTAATACAGTTTGTTTAAGATGGAACGATAGAAGAATTTTTTTTTTAAACTCTAATATCCAATCCTGCGAAATAAATGTCATTCTATTTTTAAAAGCGTGAAGGAACGCTATTAGCCAATGGTTAGCAACAAACATTTGTTCCAATTGCACACGCCCCTACCCACATAAATTTTTATAATAATAAAAAAGTAAAATTATGAATTATTTACTTTAAACTCTCTCACTCTCTCTCACTCTCTCTCTCTCTCACTCACTCACTCACTCACTCACTCTCTCTCTCTCTCTCTCTCTCTCTCTCTCACTCTCTCTATAATGCTTTGGTTTGTCTCGCTCGCTTGTTTAATTCTTGGCTCGACATTCTAGACTCGATTAGACATCGCAATCACCTCTTTTAAAAATTGCTTTATCGTGAATTTTTAAGATTGGGAAGTAATCGTACAAAGTGCTTTAAATATAAAACATTTTAACTTATATAAATTGAACTCCTAAGATTTCAGATTTTAAAGTACATTTTCTGGTGACATTTATACTATTATCACGTGTAACAAAAAATACATAAAAACGTATAATTTAATTAATACTTTAAAAACTTAGGAAATTTGAAAGAATGTAATATCAAAGTAATCATAAATTTAGATATTATGCATACAGTTGAAATTTTTGCAGTAATTAAAGTTCACTCAATTTTTTAATAATGTTTATTAATTAATAAATGAACTTAGCTTACTTAGCAGTAAAGCCTCGTGGAAGGTTTCATGTCACCTTTCATTAGACGAAAAACATTATATATATTACAAAGAGAGACGGTATACATATAATAGAATTCATTTGCCCGATAAAATAGCAATTACGAATACAATATAATGCACATTTTAATTACAAACGATGTATAAATAAAGATCGATGTCTAATTTGCAATTCATTTTCTAATTAGGCTTAAAATTTTACAGTGATTATAATAACATTATAATGCACAATAAATTTGCACATATGCTGTGATATATGCTTTTCGCCATCTTAATCTCAAACTAACGAATATTGGCTAATTCATCAATTAATTACGAAATACGAAAAATATATTCCATAATGTACGACAGCGGAGCTCTCCATTTACGGAATGTGACCTACGGCATCTAATTAATTAATGTTTTTTTTATACAAAGCTCGGTCGGCATGTGTCGGTGAGGCGAAACAAATGCGATCAAGGACAACTTTGAGGTGATGATCATCATAGAATTTATGATGAAACTCATTGGTCTCTAAATGCGAGCGCAAACGACGCATAACCTTCGCAAAAGCGTAATAAAGGAACGAGAGAAGATTCGCTAAACAAATCCTCTATCTCTTCTTTCGACCGTTCGATTAATTTTTTCCATAATGGCAAACGATTGCGTGAATCGTGAGTTTAGGAACTAATATTAGAAAATATTAGATTATAACGACTAATATTAGATTTATTCAAATGATACTTTAGTGAATATTTCTCCTCGGATTGTAGGAAATGTATCATCGGAAAAAGAAGGCTACAATTCACAGTTTATAGGATAAAAATTGAGATACCTGCTTAGGTTACATTTTATATAATTTTATATAATGGCTACTGTAGTTATAGAAAAATCGCATTATTCTTTAAATATATCGATATTTTATTCGACTAATTAAAAATCTAAATTTCATTTCAATCTTTATTTCAATTTATAACTCAATATCATTGCAAAATTACTTTAATATTTCATTTTAATTCGTTAGTAGGCTAATTATTAATCATTAAAAACAATTATAAATATAATGTAATGACTTAATATAATAATGTAACAATAATCTATCTAATATCATTACACAATAATTCTAGACAATACAAATATTTCAAATAAACAACTCGAGTATTTTTTATTATGCAATATTCCATTAATAATATTTAATTAATGCACGAGTACTGAAATCATTGAAATAATTTAATAATTCATTAAAAATGACATCCTTTGCTAAATATTAATGTTACAAGTTCTACCTAAGAATGTCAGTTATGAATTATATGTAAAAGGATTCGTTTAAATTAATTTGCATTATACGAATAATATAATATTCACTCGTAATATCGGTTAGAAATTAAAATGGACTCTTCGTATTCATTGCATTTAATATTATAGATCTATTTAATTGAACTGTAATGACGCGAATGTTTAACTATATTTGAAAAAGTTTATATATTTTAAATGAAAGAAATTTCTGTACGAGGAATAAGAGTACTTTGCTGTATGTCATTTTTCTCCTTTACGTTGCATATTTTGCGTAAAGTGCTTACTTATATCATAAGAAATAACGAAGAGTATGAATTGTAACGCATAAAATAAATCATTTTAACGTCGATTACTAATCAAGCAGTAATTTTTTTTTTTTTTTTTTTTTTTTTTTTTTTTTAATAAAAGTTTACCTAATACTTTAAAACTTTTTAAAACGATCGCATTACCAACAGCTTAAAGTAAATATTAATTTAAACGAAATAACTTACATATGTTGTTAATTACACACATAATCTTATTTTTACATGAAAAATTACTTCAAATATTTATATTATTAATGAGTATAGACAGTTTATGAAACATAAATATATATAATATATATAATAATATAAATAAGAATAATTACATTTAAGACATAAAGATATAATGCACGACTGCGAATGCGTTGTATTGAGAGGATGAGAAAGTGAGAAAGAGT